TTTGAATGTATTTATTTTATTATCACAATTTTATTTATTGAATTGTCCATTTTTGTTGTTATTTATGTTTAAAAATTGTTATTTTTGTCTGTGATGGACTTGCGGCCTGTCCAGGGTGTACCCCGCCCCTCGCACTGTGACTGCTGGATATGGGCACCAGTGACCCACGCGACCCTGAAAGAAAGAAGCGTGTACAGAAAATGGATGGATGGGTTATTTTTGTGTTGATAAGCCTGAGTGGTCTGTTGACTGACTGTTGTATTTATTCAAATAATTGTTATGGGCAGGTTACAATATAAAAAAAAATGTTTGCCATAGGCCTAATCATGTCTTGTCATTATTTGACAGGAGTTTTACTTTTAAACTTATTTAATTATATTTAATGCAAATACAATACAAATTAAACCAAGATTTAGAATAGTTATACAGTAGTTTTAAACCAATATTTAGAATAATTATCATTTTGAGCCGTATGGTAATGATAACTGGGCCTCATGTCACTTTATGTTGCACAAATTGTGCCCTGAGTTCAAAAAGGTTAAGAACCCCTGCGTTATTGCATGTACTTCATGCCAGCACATTATTTACAGACAGTGTGTTTTATACAGTTAGGTAATGGTGCATGACATTCAGTTCCTGCATGTTGTTTCATCGAGGCGATCTAGTTTATTGTCTCAGTATTTGTAAAAAAAAAAAACTTTCTTTTTTTTAACCTGGTTTGATTTTTGTCCAAGTTATCCTGCCTACCTTATGCACGAGGTCGACAGCCCTGGCCATCTGTGGCCATGAGCACCACCCTGTCACAGCATCATCCACCGAGTGCCGTCGAGCTGCAAGCCGAGAACAGGGATGTTCTGATTGGTCGACAGGACAGTGCTAGGGTAGCGCAGCCAGGTAACACCTGACGCTCACACCGCTGCTCAGGGTTCACTGTTGACGTCTGTACAAACAAAGGCAAAGTCTTTCCTGCAGAAACATTTTCTTAAAAAATTATGTTTGTGTTTAAAAAACTTAGCTAGGTTATTATGAGACTATGTAATGAAAATAAAATAAAATATCTTACAAAGATCGTTTTCTCATGTGTTACAAAAGCAATAATCAGAATAAAAATCTTTATTCTGACTTTTGTACGTGAGCAACTCATGCCTCCTTATCCAGGGTTTTCTTTTCTCACCTAGTGATGCTTTATGTCTTTTGAAGTTGAGTTCTGTGAAAATGTAGTGAACAGTTAGTATCTTACCTGTTCGCTCTTTGAATAATGTGAGTTTGAGGGAAAATGTTTAGTTTTGGCTGAATTGATGAGCTAACAAGCAAAACCAAAGTGGCTTGCTGCTGTAAAATTCATTTTCATGTGTTTAAACTTTAGTGTGCACATAGGTTAAAGCGATAGAGACGAACTTTCAAAGTAGGGTCTCATAAAATGTTTTGAAGAGTTAATATCCTACCTGTTGAAGATAGCTCTTTGAACAGCCTCAATTAAATAAATTAATAAATAAGTGTGAAGGGGTATGGTTGTTTGTTTCATATAAAGCCTTTCAAAAGATTCTTTCTGATTTTGAACGAGCTTTGCCACCACGCAGGGATTTACGTCACGTCATCAAGTCACGTGTGTTTTGTCAAGCAGAAACTCCGCCCCCTTTTCCCCCTGAGCTGTTGTAACTCCACCCCTCTGCCTCCACCTTAAAGCTGCGTGAGCCTATCGGCAAAAAAAGAAAGACTACATCAGAAACCTGGAGAGTTGTGCGAGGAGCTGGAGAACCAGAAGAAGGCTCTGATAGGGGAACTTAGGGCCTTCAAGAACATCTCTCAGCGTAAAGCCGACTGATTCCTTGTTCAAGATAATGAACTGGGATTGACTGTTTTTATTGTTCGACTTGAAGATGTTATAAATTCACATGTTCAATAATGTTGACTTGATATCTTCAGGGTTTCAAACCTACGGTTCTCCTTTACTGGATGCTAAACAGGAACAGCGTTTCTGGCAGAGGACATCCACAGGGTTACATTGTAAAAACGAAAGATGGATTACATATATCTTCATCGAAACAAAAAGGTTAAACAAACTTAACACTAAAACATTAGTTTTACAATATTTTTCAATTAAAAACTTGTCCAGTTACTAATTTAAGGAGTCTGTTATGGAGATATGCTGCAGTGTTGCCTCATTTGTGATGACATTCTCCTATTTATTGGATGTAACATTTCAAAACAGAAAAGAGAATACCCATTACATTTTTTCCACACACATCAACGAATATCAAAGAACATGAGTCTGATTTGAAAATGACCATGAAAAGAATGGTAGAAATTATAAAAGGGTTCCTGATAGAATTAACTTTTTTTTGGCTCCAACTGTGTGTCTCTGCCACTTGCAGTTTGATAAGAAAATAAAAACGCAGAAAAAAAATTGACAGGTTTATCACAACATAAGTTGTCTTTTTTAAGTTGCTGATTTTCACAAATATGCTTCCACATTAAGTTCCAAATTCTTTGTAGTTCTGCAGCAACAAATACAAAAATCAGCAAACTCATCAATCACTACATTGCACTCAGAATGGGCATTACACCTAAAATACCAGCAGGGGGAGCCATAGCACAATGTTCAAAGCGATGCAAACGCGATAAAATAAAATACCATTAAAATATTTGTTGGACCTCTGCAAAGTAAAAACATTAAATGCCAAAGAAACATCTCAGTGAATTGGATTATTCCTATTTATTATTGAAGCCCTATTAAATCCCCCCCAGATAGGTATATTCAGATGAACTTAACATTGGAATAATGAAATGATGTGGCTTGGAAGCTTGTGAACAGGACATAATCAGGAAAAAAAAAAGAGAATTCTGTCTTTTTTTAGGTGTCAATTGCAGTGTAATTTTCTGTTTAGTAATGCATATACATTGCCCAGTTGTTACCGCCCACTTGAACCGGAAACTYTTCCATCACAGCCCCCAGCATGGACGCGTTCAGGTACTCACAAAAATCGTATTTTATTATGTTCTTTGACACCTCGCATTGCAAAAGCACGAATATCGATTGCCGACCAAGGTGAGCTAACTAAAGCACGTTGTGCTGCTTTATTTGTCAAAGCTTTTAATTAAAAACAATTAAACATACAAGTAGACTGACAAATTCAGACACAACTACATTACGTTTTGCCTCTTAAGTCGTATATTTTATCTTTCCCGTTTTATTGATGGCCTATCARTTTGTTTTGTCTCAGCTTTGAGAATGTGCGGAGTCCGTTTTAAAGCGGAGAAGCGCGCTCCGTTGTTGAAAATCCGACTTCGCTGTGAGTCCTCGAACGCCACACGGCAGCGGATGTAGCCGCAGGATTCTACTACCGTACAGCGGCAACCATGTAGCGCTCAACCCTGAAAACATTCCGTGCGATTCGCTTAATTATGTGTGGTCGGTTTAACTCATGTGGACGGACGTTTCTGGATGTGAAAATGTTTTCGTGAAGATTACTGGACGCTCGCTTTGGATCGACAAAAGCGGAAAAAGTCGACAGCGAAACCGACGCCGTAAAGGCACCACCTACCCTCTCGATTTGTGGTTTTTAGGGGACACACCGCTGGACTGTTTGTCCTCATTTATCTGTTTTTCTTTGTGTTTTTAATCATTTTTTTAATGGCGCCATTATACTAGCTAAGCGTACGCGAGACTGGGGGGCTAAAAGGATACCGGTAGGGCTTCTTGGTGTCTGTGTCCGCGTTACCGCCCCGTTTCTGTCTTTTATTTTTTATTTTATTTTGCGGGGTAACACCAGCAGCTCTGCAAATACAGAGCTGGAGATAAAGCGGTGGGCGTAAAAGTAAAAGCTGCGTACACAATGGGGAATACAACATCCTGCTGCGTGTCGTCGAGCCCCAAACACCGGAGGAGCAACCACTCCAGGCTGGAGCCGTATCGGCCGGAGCCGGAACTGAGTCGTGAGGACACGGGCTGCAACCTTCAGCACATCAGCGACAGAGAAAACATAGACGGTAAGATCATGAATYCACCACAATCCAGGAAAAGAGCAAAATCCCAAAACTACTCGTTTTTTAAAAAAATCATTACTGATTTGGATTTATTTAATAATGCAGATTTGTGGTGGAGTATTAATATTTACAGAGTGTTCAACATCTGTGCAGGGAAGACACACCCACCCTTCTGCAAAATTAAATTAAAAATATTGTTTATATTTCTTATCTTGCACTTGTAATGCCACCTGACTAGGCAGTAGTTCGAATCCTTGAGTCTTAACTTCTATGTCTTACTTAGTGTCTGGGAAATGAGTACAAAAGCTTGAACCAGCTTATTCATCACAGAGGATGACAACCCACCAAGATCTCCATGATGGAGTCAGTCCATTAGAAAAGAGCTTGTTCTGAGCTGGAATACGTATTCTGTGTGAGATAATCATGAAAACAACCCAAAGCCTTACAGTAACTCTGCCAGGCCTGTATGTGGTGCTTTGATGCTACCATGACAATACACCATAAGCAGGAAACAAGGCTTGGAGCATGGGCTCAAGTCCCCATGATGCCTTGCTTGAATTATGGGAGCGATTTACACCTTGAACTGACGTTGGTTTACATGCAAGCTATTACAGTTTCCCTAAGCACTATGGATTTTAAAATGTGGAAACGCTGCCTGAAAGAACTAAAAAACAAAACAAACAAATAAAAAAATAGGACAATATGGATTTACTGCTGCCTACTGCAGAGATGGAAGGATGACCTAAAGAAGTGGCCACAGAAGATAAATAGTAGCTTATTTAGCTACTTCATTGACTTTGTTGCTTCAGGCAGGGAAGCAATGAACAAGCTAAAAAGCTCTGGGGTCTCATTTATAAAGGATTGYGTGGAAACCATACTAAAAGTGAACGTACGGCCAAAAGGCGGAAATGGCGTACGCCAAAAATAATTCAGATTTATAAAATGGTGCGTACACATGTTTCTGCGCATCTTTCCTTTATAAATCACAGCCGCACGTCAGAGTTTGCGCACGAGGTCCTGCCTCAGGTTCTACCCTCTACACGCCCACACTCAACCATAAACAGCCAATGCAAAGCACCTCATGAATGTTAAGATGTATTTAAATCAGTCAGCTGATCAATGTCAACAAATGTGATTGGTTCAGACACGCTCCTTCGTGCGTCTGGAGGATGACAGGTGCTGACTGACAGCTGCTCACGTGAACAGAATGTCTGTAATTGACACAGATTTTCCCTCATTTTGCTTTAGAGTAATCTAACAATTTTTATAAAAAATACTCAGCTTCAAATAAATTTTCCATCAGAGCCTGCAGGACGATAAAAACAATAAAAATTTAATTAAATAAGTCAGATATAATTAGAAAATAAGTTAACCGCTCTTCTCCTCGTCCTCTCCCCCTCCTGCCTGCTCTGTTATCCGCGGCAGACACACCCATCCCGCACGCACGCATGCATGCACACACACACACGCACGCACGCACCCCCCCCCCACGCAACAAACACGGACTTTAAACCTTGTTTTATAACATCCACACTGGTGAGGTGGACGCGCCCTGCACGTGTATCCAAAGTGTGACTTTTGCTGTCCTGCTGTTCAAGTCGGGGAGGGGTCTGTGGGTCAGGGAGGGGTCTGTGGGTCAGGGTCGTTTGAAGAGGAAGCAGATGAAGGGATTTGCGCATGGGAACTTTTATTTAAGATTTAAGTTTTTTTATTTCAAAGGTCCTCATGGCTCAGCAGCAGAAGCATAAATATTACTGTTAAGAAAGCTGATGATAAAGTTGAATAATAATCTAAGTCTTATGAAGGTAAATTAAATATCTGACAGTGATCATTACACAGTGTGGCTCTAATTCTTCACTTCGCCATCTGTGTCGCAGTTTCACGTCTCCAAAATGAGCGTACGCATGGGTCAGAGCTGGCGTGAGGCACCGCACATTTTCACGTCAAGTTTGGATTTTATAAATCACAACCTTGGCGTAAAAAGTGGCGTACGCAAGTTTCTGGGCCCAAATTGTGCGTACGCCAGTTTTATAAATCCGACCCCTGAGGCGTATCAGTACCTACACGTAATATTACAACAACAAAAAGAACAATAACAATAATAACAATAAGAAGAAGGCCGGTTGTGTTTTGTTAAAAGAAGGGAGACACAATCATATTTACCTAGARCCACTCTGACTGAAATATTTGTCATTTGTTAGCCCTGACCTAAGCCCTAAAACAAAGAAAATCTGGTACACTATCACAGCGTTAACCTAATCTTTTCAACTGTTCCAGTGAAACTTAGAAAGATAATCAAATAACTCAAATAATGATAGTTGGGAGGGATTATGGACATGACAGTGTGGAGACACAGGCAGCTTTCTGTGACTGTGCTAGCTGAGGGATTGCTCCTCAGCTGGACAGCGTATGTTCCCTCTGTCAGAAACACGGTGGTCCATTAYTGTATTGTTTCTGTTTGTGTCTGTGTGGGAGGGCTTACCTGGACCTTTACAGTATAAAATGTCCATGCCAAAAAAAGAATTTACCACAACCACATAAGTGAGAACAGATGTCTTGTTTTGRGAAGTATGTAGCAAGCTTAAGGAAACTGCTTATAAAGAATATGTAAAACAGCAGGAACAGTAGTTGTTGGAGAAACGTCAGCACAGCCTGGTTATCGTATAATTCAATAAAATAAGCCACTTGTGCTTTTTCACACTTTGGAGAGATGAGAAAACACTGGGAGCACAAATAGTCCTTCTCATGGACACTAAGGATCAATGAAAATGGGTCAAAAATACTAATGGGATCTCAGACATGGCTCAGGATCTGAACCTGACCTTTTTTAGCCGCTTAGTGAATGAGTCCAATGAGCTTTGGTATTTGTGCTTTCAAATAATCAAATGCTTACAATTAAAGACAGGAACTTTTAAAAGAAGGAAACAATTTGTCAAAGCATCAGCCGAGTTCTGTCGTATATTCTGATCTCGTTTAAGCAGCCATACAAAGTGGYCATAAAATCAAACGAGATGCAGTTAGATTAAAATGAATATTTTTTTCTAACCAAAATCTTCATTAATATAAATGATCCTTTTGCTCCTAGATTTCTTCTTTATGAAAGTGAAGGCTCTTTCAGATGACGTCACATACTGTTACTGACGTGTCCTGACCACCTCGGCCCAATCAGTGGGGGGGCTAAAACTCCCCTTCTCTGTACCTCTGTAGTGACAGAAAATTACATACTTCAGGCTATGCATCAAATTTTAAATTGTGTTGATAGATAAATAAATTACAGAACTTTTTTTTTAAGGTCAATCATATTTGAAGTGGAGCGGAGCACCGAGCAGACTCTGCCTGGTGGCATTAATCGTTTTAATCGTCAAGTGCCAAAAATTAATCGATTAATGTTTTTCCTGACGATTAATTGCACACACGATTATGCCCAACCCTACTGTCATAATAATAGTTAGCCTATTTCTGCTGGTTGTCAGGTTTTTCTTACTATTGCTTGATGATCTGTAGCAGAAACCATGTTGTCAGCCACCTTTTAAAAATGAACACCCAAAAACTATGATCTTTTTTATTTATCAGAAGCTCACACATAGAAGACAACTTTTAAACATTGATAGATGTATCAGATGTCATGACAGCACTTATATGTTTAAATACTGAACCGATTTTTTTTTCTTCATCTGCTGATAGGAAGAAGAAAATCATATTTGAGATACAAACCCTATGGATCAAGTGGGATTGTTATAATTGGGGGATGTTTTCAGCTGGTGGGTTATCAGCTTGATCAAAGTACAGTGTAGACATGAGTTAGTGTGAGATTGTGAGGGTATGTCAAGCTTGAGCAAAAATACCACCATAGATTGTAAATCTATTTGTCATCAGTTATATAAAAAATACTGTATTTAAGATGAAAGCTGAAAATAAAATTTTATCTCAAGCTCTTTTTTTAAGCTGCTCCCCCTTGGGGGTCTCCACAGCAGAAAGTCTGCCTCCATCTCCCCTCATTCCAGTCTCTCATACGCCAGCCTGCTGCACATCCTCAACCCAACACCCCCCTCCCCACCTCCTTACATGTCTCCAAACCATCTCAGTCTAATTTAATCACATTTATTAAGATTAACTGTAAAATTAAAGTCAGCTGAAACATGAGCACATAAGTAGCAGACCAAAACCAAACTATAGCACCAAGTACATTTTTGAATACTTGTAAAGCAATTGTACCTGTTCAACAAAACTATTCTTCTCTGATGTTCTGCTCTTTGTAAACATTAAATAGGTTGACACGCTATACTATATATGAACCTGACAAGCTGATATTAGCTCATTATTAGCCAAATTAATAGCCTTTGTAGCTACTATAGGGTTATAGTGGCATGCTGACTCRTGTAACTTGTTGCCAATGTTTGTTTTAAAACAGCATTACCTTGGTAGACAAGACATCACTGACTTCAAATTTGGGATATTTCCTTCCTATTGTACACTGACGGCTTGCAGCAACAGGTTGTAGAGGGAGGCATTTCAATCTGCCCTCCATACAACTGGAAGAAAAACAAATACGCAATCATGTTTTCCTGCCTCGTCTTTTTTTCCTGTTTGCAGGATCTTTAGCTTCTGTTATTGTGACACCAACCTACCTGTAACATATTCTTTAACAGGTTTATATTATATTATTAAGATAAGAGGACTACATCATGTTCTGATGGAAAATGACTTGTCGTCAAATAACTTCCCACCTAAAGCGGCGCTGGACATTCAGGGGCAGTTTTTATTTTTTACTGTCACACTGATCTGAAGTTACTGTGAAGTTTGATTTGTTACAAGTAAAGTTTTTTTTTTTCAGTGAATGAAATAAATTTTGATGCTGAAGTACAAAGCAGGATTCATGGTTTAGTAATGCCAGTCTAGGGTTTTCACAGACACTGAAGTGGTTATTATTTAATTTTTTATTATATTGCCATGACACTCTGTGGTGAATCAAATTTACACTGGGCAGATAAATCAAATTCAGT